CCGCCCAGTGGCTGCCTGGCCTCCCGGCGCTGCGTGTGCAACTGAGCTGGCAGAAAAGCGGCTTCTGGGAACGTTTCCAGGGAAGGGGGAGTTCTCCACCCTGCCTGGGGTGGGACGTTACCGGGTGGAGCCTCTGTAGGAGTAGCCAGCCAGCAGGGGATGGTGCTGAACCACCCCCCACCCTCCCGCCCCCCCAGTGCTGGTGGGGGAAGGGGCAGACTGAGAGGCTGGTGCATTCTGGGTATCCCTGGTGCTGTGTGAGTCACTGAGGAATTCAGCCTCCCTGGAAGGGGGCTGGGACTCTTGCCTCCATTGGCCGGGGGGGTGGGGGGTTGTCAGGACAGAACTCGGGCATTCTAGTTCCCAGTCGTGCACTGGTCTTGTTGGTCGAGGAGGGGGCAGCTGGTGAACCCTTCCCCGGGGCCCTGGGGTGCTGTGAGCCCAAACCGTAGGGTCCCTACTGCCCGGGGCATTCCCTCCCTGGCCTGCTTCAGCTGCCACGGCCCACATGGAGCTGGAGGCCTAGGTCCCACTCAGTCTGCTGGCTGCCTTGCGGGAGCTGGAGGCTAAGCTCCGAGGTGAGCTCGCCTGCTGGGAGTGTGCTCCCGCTTGGGGGAGCAGAGGGGTCTGGCTACCCCACAGGGCTAGGAGCCAAAGGGCCCAGGGTTATTGGCAAAGCAAACTCCCAGCACAGACCTTGGGGGAGCTGAAGTGCTGGGGCGTGTCTGCCTGTGCCCGGGATGGGACCCCGCTCTCACCATCTGCTTTCTCTTCCCCGTCCCCAGGTGACGACAGACCTGTATCAGGTGCTGGCGGCCAAGGGCTACCAGCTGGAGTGCCGTGGGGTCGTCAAGGTCAAGGGCAAAGGGGAGATGACCACCTACTTTCTGAACGCCGGCCCGCCCCGCAGTTAGCGCCAGCCGCAACCTTCTGCCTGAAGGACCCAGCCTGCCAGAGGGCCAGGCTGAGCGGAGCCTTTGGGAACCACCCAGGCCTGGACGTCAGCCCGGCCGCGGGCCCACTGAATTAGCGGGATCTCGTTAAGCGGCTCCAAATGGCGACACCAAGCTGAAGAGGGGAAGCGCTGCTGCCCCGGCCAACGGAGGGCTCTTTGCCACCAGGCCTGCGTTGGGAGGAGGGCGGCGGCATGCCCTGTGGGCGATGAAGAAATATTTTTACAGCGAACTTTCTATTTATTTATTGACTGCGGGAGCCAGCATGCTGGGGGGTGCCCAGGCTGCCCCATTGTGGGGCTGGCAGAGCACTGCCCCTCCCTTTTCCTGTCGATGAACTTGGGCAACACCCCCCCGCCCCCGTCCACAATCGACCAAAGAGGACGGTAGCAGGAGGCGCCTGTACGCTGCTGGGGGGGTCCCACTGCTGTGTAATGCTTGTCTGCAGGGCCAGGAGCTCCCTGGGGGCTGCTTCTCCTTGGTGCTGGGTGCAGACTGGTTGGGGGGGAGGGGATTTGAAATGGACTGGTATTGGAGGGTATGGCCCCCCCTCCTTGCAGTGAGCCCCTGCCGGTTGGAAAGGCCGAGGCAGGGGCCAGGTCTCATGCAACCCACTGTGTCTCCATGGTAACCTCCCCCCAGGTCTCACTGTGATGTGGGGGAGGGCCTGGATGGTTCTCATTTGCCAAAACTGCCCCCTGTTGCTGGGGGGGGCAACTGTCTCCTGGGGAAAGGGGCTGAAGGGGGGGGGGATGTCGGTGTATTGCCGGGGAGGGGCAGGGAGTCACTTCTGGGACGCTGGTGCATGAGTCCAAAGAGGATGGGGGAGGTGAATATGGGCCAGTGGGGTTGTGGCAGGGCTCGCTGGCAGCTGAGCCCCACCCTGCGATGCCCAGCAAAGCCCAGGGAGGGGCACGTGTCGGTGGGGCCTTCTGTCAGCCTGTGCGGTGTGGGGGAGGTGACTCAGCCGGCTTGGGGACTGGGTGTCCCTTCTCCTGTGGGCGCCCCCCCCCCCATTACTGCCTCCTCCAGGGGCCAAGCTACCCATGTGCCAAATTCCCAAGTGCCACGCAGCCTTGGCTGGCTCCGGTTCAGTCCCCCAACTGCCAGGGCTTGGCCCCAGGCCCCCCAAGCTCCAGTATTGTTCCCTGCCCGTAGAGCCCAGTATTGAAAGGGGGCGCAGCGCCCACCCCCCAAGCATGGGGGGAGGGGTTGTCACAGCTGGGGCTGAGAAAACCTTGACTTGGCCTGACCTGCCTTTATCCAAACAACCCTGCCCCAGGGTGCTGGTCTCTTGCATGCTTGGTACGTGCCCCTGTGGAGGGGCAGTTGACCCCCGCTCCCTTATGTAAGGAACCTTCCCCCCACCTCTGGGACTCCAGACCCAGGTGGGGGAGGGGTGGGTGTGTCTTCCCCAGCTACGACTTGAACATAGAATGCGTGGCTGAGAAATGAACTGGCCCTGGTACTGCTGGGTCCCCACTTGCCCCATGAGGCTGCCTGCTGCCCCAGCTGGGTGCGGGGAGACTTCCTGCCCAGTGACTGCAGGACGAGCCCTGTCACGGGATGTTCCCTTCCCCCACCCCAGAGCCTGATCAGCTCCGGACCTGCAGTGGGGTGCCTGGGACATGGAGGGGGGGGTGTCAGGTCCTAGGCTGGGGCGGGTTAAGTCTACGCAGCCCCCCCCTTTCGCCCCCATGCTCATCCATCTGTGGAAACCTCTGGAGCAAACCCCTGGCTGGGCCGAAGGCTGCAGCCCTTGGCATGGGAGTGAGCCCAGGGTTATGAATCAGCAAGGAACATTAGGAACTACAGGCCCCCCCCCCAGATTAGCCTGCTCCCAGGGGCACAAGAACAGCTACTCTGAGCTGCTGCAGCCCCCTCAGAGACAGCTGATCAGTCCTGGTCATATCCCCCCCAGAAAGGGGTGTTTCACTGCACCCTTGCAGCAAGGCAGACCCCTGGCCCCTTTCCACTGGCTCTGGAGCGGGTCCACTTGGGCCCCCAGAGGCTTTGAGCCCAGCTTGTTATGCCATCGGTCTGGCTCCCCCTGGCTTGAAGGCCACGTTCTCTGCTGTTGGGCTGGGAGTGGCAGGATTCCTCCAACCCAGGGCAGGAACCACCTGCCTCCCTCGGGGCCGGGGCTGTTTTAAATGCAAAAAAAAGTGTTTTCTGGGTTTGGTTTTTTTAGCAGTTTTGGGGTGTTTTTTATTTCCGTGATTGTGTCTGGGGAGTTTTAATCCGACGGCGGAGCCAGATGAGCTGCTCCAGCCCCAAAGC